GTGTCTGAGCTGGTGGTGACCACGAGACCATGATGGAGCTCGAACTTAGTGCCTTAGCAGTGATGTCGGCTGGTGGTGAGGGAGCTAGAATAGGAGTCAAAATATGCCTTGTCAGTAATTGGCATTTCTGATGCGAATTTAACACTCGACATGTAGGGCAAATTGACAAGGGTTGTGACGTGATGTGAACTAAGCTCGACGCAAGTGCTTGCATGATTAGACAATGACCAAGTGTGAAATTGGATTTTGATTTCGATGAAGAACGACTGCTTCGCTCATTGCGGATTAATGCCAGCAGGAGAGCACTGAGCCGAGTTACTAACCGGCTGTGGAGGATATGCGTGACCACCTTGCCTTTCTATCAGAACCGTGTCCACAATGCACTGACCAATGGTGCGTTGACAAATCCGACAAATGCGCTTGGGCATCAATCTAACATGGGCTTGTGCGTGGATCCTTATCCTGTCAGTGGAGTGCACTCTCAATACCAAATGAACACTCAACTGTCATGACCACACATTTTCTATTGTATCCACTCACTCACTTGCCAAGTATGTGTGTATGTGTAGGCGCTTACATGTAGGTTTGAATTCATGTATGTAGGTGTGTGTATGCGAGGATTTAGGCTTGGAAGTTACGCGAATAGTAAGGATTTCCGTGTAACGCCTAGGTTGTAAATAGAATGAATATTCGCTTCAAGCAGGAGACCTGGACTCACAGAAAATAAGGCATAAAAGAGCGCTTGAATTGTGTAAAAATTGAATACGTTAGTAATCTGCACGCCTTGGAGCTGTGCCTTGTGGCATGGTCGAGACACTTTTAATGTGCGACACCACTCTCCCTCCCTCCCTTCCATTCTCCATCCCTCCCTCATTGACGAGACTTCTTGGTCTCACCTCCTGGATGGTCTGTTAATTCGCATGATTGACAAGGCAGGCCGTGCTATCAATCTGCTCTGCATAAGTCTGCGTGGGCTTTTCTCACGACAAGAATTCAGGTCTCCCTATGCTGTGTGCCAGGCAAATGAAGAAAAATTGACGAAGAGGGTCACAAGTGCATCCACAGTGACAGTGTGCCAACACGTAAGTGCGACATTCCGACACCTGATTCAACGCTTGTGGGGAATAGCCGGCACAACGAGGGCCTCCTAAGCCAAAGAAGCAACAATAGTGAGAAAACTGGTCATTTACCCGTCGACCACGTCCACGCTTGCCCTGTTGGGAAGGCTGTTGTGGCACCATTTGTAGTGACTTGCACTACTACATTGTTTTCGGTGTAGGGTCTCAGGCCTGTGGTAATGGAGCCTTCAGTGGCAGTTGGGGCGACAACGGCACTAGCGTTTGCCACGCCCAGATCACTGCCCACTGGCACCGCGATGAGCTCGATTTTCTGTATTGAATCGGGCATGACGTCTTGGAAATCCCATCTTAGGTGGAATCCGGAGGCATCAGTTCGATGGAGGGAAGCGGAGGGCTGGATGACGGGACGTGTCGTGGTTGTTGTCGTCGTTGTTGCTTTGCGTGCCGCTAAAAGAAGACCATTTGTTTGATGCCATGTGACAAAATTAATTTCCTGGTAACGGATAGGTGAACATGTGCATCCGCAGTGCCGGTGTGCGATCAAGCAAATGCGACATTTCTCCACTTGATTTAACGCTAATACGGAGTATCCGGCACAACGAATGCTTTTTAATCCGTAGAGTTAGCAATATTTTCTGACCACCTGTGCTCACCAGCTCCGTGTGCTACATATCCTCCCAGAATTAGAGTTGCTGGCAAGACGGTTAAGGCAAGAATCGTCATGCTTGTGGCTGGTGCGTATCCAGAAGTCTGACCTGAGTTTATATACCAGGCAGGCGATGTTTCTTAAGCCCACCAATCACTGATAGCTATCCTCCTTGTGGGATTTCATTCAAGCAAATATTTCACTGCGGTGGTATTTGTTGAAACAATAAGGACATTAATGGTGCTAAATCATTAGCATCTTCCATGGCATCTGTTCCTCCCAAATTGAAGA